CTACCACGCCCGGCCCGTCTTTTCCTGAAGCTCCGCATCCAAGAGTGGGTGCATGGAAGACAAATTTCTCAAGCCTTTGTGTATCTGAAAATGTCTTTATTCTTTGCTCTGTCATCAGCCTGGAGTGTAGTGGTGCGATTTCAGCTCACTGCAACCTCCATCTCTCGGGCTCAGGCGATCATCCCGCCTAAGCCTCCCAAGTAGCTGGGACTACAGGTGCACACCACCACGCCTGGCTAATTTTTGTAATTTTAGTAGAGACGGGGTTTTGCCATGTTGCCCAGCCTGGTCTCGAACCCCTGGACTCAAGTGATCTGCCCACTTTGGCCTCCCAAAGTGCTGGGGTTACAGGTGAGAGCCACCGCACCCAGCCTCAACCCACGACTTTAAATGGAAATCAAGTTGGCTCAGTGGCTCATGCCAGTAAACCCAGCACTTTGGCTAGGCTGGGGTGGGAGGATCGCTTGAGCCCAGGACTGTTTGAGAACAGCCTGGTAACATAGCAAGACCCCGTCTCTACTGCAATAAAATAAATACATAAATAAATGGATCTTATTGTCAGTTGGAAGCTGCAAGATCGCCGCTCTGCATGTGGCACCAGCGTGGCTGTCATGGTGGCAGCCAGTCCCCCGGGGCCTAAGGCCCCAGCCCCGTCCACATGCCCACGATTTTCTCTCTATGCTTTTTGCATCTTCTCCATGTCCATGGTGTTCTGACACTTGACAAGGGGAGCGTGGGGACCACCAATGGTTCCCTGGCCTGGCACCTGCTGGGCTCATGCCACCTTGGGAATGATGGGTGCCCTCACTGGGACAACTTCGTGGATGATCTTATTCCCATGAGCTGGGTGGCTTGAAACAAGGAAATGAATCCTATCACAGTTCTGGGTGCTGGAAGTCTGAAGTCAAGGTGCACACTCCCTCGAAGGCTCTGGAGGGGCCGGTGTCCCACTTTACCTCTCTCAGCTTCTGGGGGCTCCTCGTGGCAGCGTCACCCCAGTCTCTGCCCTGTCTTCACAGGCCATGTCCTCTGTGCCGCCTCCTCTGTCTCTTATAAAGACTGCTGTCATCGGCCTTAGGGCCACCTGGATAGTCTCATCTCAGAATCCTTCGTGACATCTGCAGAGACCCTTTTCCACGTAAGGCCTGCCTGGGTCTCATCCAAGCCAGTACGCAACCTGTAACCAAAAACACCAGCCTGGCCCACGTGGGGCACCCCTGTCTCTACTGAAAATACAAAAATTGGCCAGGTGCGGTGGCTCACGCCTGTAATCCCAGCACTTCAGGAGACCACAGCGGGTGGATCACCTGAGGTCAGGAGTTTGAGACCAGCCTGGCCCACGTGGCGAAACCCCATCTCTACTAAAAATACAAAAATTACCCGGGTGTGGCGGCACACACCTGTAATCCCAGCTACTTGGGAGGCTGAGGCAGGAGAATCCCTTGAACCCAGGAGGCAGAGATTGTGGTGAACCGGGGTGGTGCCCTGCACTCCAGCCTGGGTGACAGAGCGAGACTGCGTCTCAAAAAAATTAATTAATTGGCCAGGTGCCGTGGCTCACGCCTGTAATCCCAACACTTTGGGAGGCTGAGGCAGGCAGATCATGAGGTCAGAAGTTTGAGACCAGCCTGACCAACATGGTGAAACCCCGTCTCTACTAAAAATACAAAAACTAGCTGGGCGTGGTGGAGCGTGCCTGTAATTCCAGCTACTCGGGAGGCAGGAGGCTGAGGCAGGAGAATCGCTTGAGCCCGGGAGGCGGAGGTTGCAGTGAGTTGAGATTGCACCATTGCACTCTAGCCTGGGTGACAGAACGAGACTCCATCTCAAATAATTATAATAATAAAAATTAATTAAGGTGGCAGCCAGTCACACTTCCATTGCTTTACTGAGAGAGGCGGGGCCTCCCAGGATGCAGCCGTGCACAGCCTGGGTGACGGATGCCCGTGCAGACCTGGCTGTGTTGACTCCCCGGCCCCCGTCGGGTTCCCTGTCTTGCTTCGACATCGTGGGAGCACAAGTCCGTGTGCTGCTGTTAAAGCCATTGCCTCCTGCCCGCGGGCTTGCACCCAGCTGAACTGATTCTTCAAAGAAACTGTTTGCATCTGTTTTAAGCCTGTCTCCTTGGGAACCTGCAATTCTCAGAGCCCACTGGCTTGAAGGCAAATGCCTTTCATGGAGGCGGCAGGAAGAAGCTGACATCCAGCCAGGGCCAAAGAAGGAAAACCACTCAGCGGGAGAGCTGGGGGGACAAGACACGAGACAGACCCACAGCGCCACCTCCACCCTCTCCTGCGGCCGGGAGGGAGACTGCTGGGGCCTCGCCGTCTCTCCGGATGGGTTGCTTGTGGAGGAAGACCTTGCCTTTCTTTCTTGTTTTTGTGACTGTATATCTACATGAGGCTTCATTGCAAGAAGCCGCCCCAGCGGGGCCCAGGAAACCGTTTTTCGAGAGGCTGCGTAGACTGGAGGAGCAGGCAAGTATCCCCCTGACGTGGCGCAGTCGGGTTTTTAAATTGGCAGCATCTGGAAGACGGATGTTACAGAAACAGAGCGGTAAACATCAGGGCTTGGCGGACACGGACATGGCGTGTGACGCTCTTTCCATCCGTGAACATTATTTCACCTGCAGTTGGACACCAGGGAAAAGCTGAGCTGGGTTCACACCAGACACAGGCCTCATAACGTGTGGGGGTCAGGAGCTGGGCTCCGCTCACACCGGACGCAAAAGCCTCTTATCACGTGGGGGTCAGGTGGGGCCAGAGGCTAGAAGGGGGTCTGGAAGCGAGTCGGGGTAACTGGGGGCCATGGGAGCCAGGCAGTGTCATGGGGAGTGGAAAGTGGGAGGTCACAGGTCCACCTTGAGGCAGAGGGTGTGGACGGCCTCCCGGACTCCCACGCGGGGTCCTCGGACAGTTCCGGAGTGCTTGGTGCCTGGCGGGCCTGCGCTGGGTGCTTCCTGTTTGGGCCTCGTAAAGCACTCATGAGGCCACCCTGCCGTCCGCCGCTCACAGGCAGGAGCTGGGGTCATGGGGGGAAGTGACTTGCCGGTGGTTATGGGGCGAGGGGCGGGGATCAGAGCCCTGGCTATGGGCCTGGAGTCCACGCCCCACGTGGTGCAGCTGCATGGCCTGGGGTCGGTCCCTGGCACCCACGACATCTCACGGCATCGCAGTGGGGATCAGATCAGTGGGCAGATAGCCAGTGCTGACTGTGGGCCGGGCATGCGGCCGCTGCTCCCAGCGTGAGAGGGCAAAGCCTTTCCCATCCCTCCCAGCCGGCCCGGACCATCATCACCGTGTCCTCCTTACAGTTCCGGAGATTCCAGGCAGTGACCTTGACGCACCTGCAGAGCGTCGCCAGCAACTACAACGTGTCCTACAACGTTGATGTCCGGTTCCGCAGCCTGGCGGAAGAGAGCCAGGCCGTGGCTCAGGCGGTCAACCAGTCACAGGCCGTGGTGCAGGGGGAGCTGGTGCAGCTCAAGGCCTGGGTGAGGAAGCTGCAGCGCCGAAGCCGGAAGATAGACACGCGGCTGCGGGCCTTGGACCTCGCCCTGGGCGAGAGGAGCCAGCAGCAGGCCCGGGAGAGGAAGGCGCACGAGGCCCAGGGGGACGCCCTGCAGGACTCACTGGCACGCCTGGAGGGCCTCGTCCACAGTCAGGGCGCCAGGCTGGCTGCTTTGGAGGGGTGGCTGCCCGTGGCCCACCCTGGCATCACAGCCTTGGGGCCGGCCCTCATCCCAGCCCCAACCCAGCCTGGTCTGCTGGGCCCAAGCTCCCTGAAGCTTCAGAGGGACAGGCAGGAGCTCCAAGTTGCATCCGAGCACAGGGGCCCCCGGCAAGACTCCTCGGCCCCTCCCCAGGGGACTCGGGAGCCCCCAGGCTCAGGCAGCCATCGGGTACTCAATGGGACTGCCACGGCCCCAAAAGATCCTCCACGGCAGGCATGGTCCCCCCGGGAGCCAGGAGAGAGTAAGTACCACAGGCTCCCAGTTGATGGCCAGGCTTCCCTCCAGCTCCTCCTTAGACCAGGCCCCCCGGAAAATCTCCCTTTCTCAAAAGAGATTCAGTTACGGGCCAGGAGATGGGGAGAGGGTCTTGGATCATCCGGGTGGGCCCACTGTCATCACAGGGGCTTTCTAAGGGGAGGCAGGAGGCACACAGTCAGAGGAGGGCATGAGGGCGGAAGCAGAGATGGCGGGATGCACAGACGAGGGGGCCCCACGCCAAGAGGTGCAGGCGCCTCTGGAAGCTGGAAAGGGCAGGAGATGGTTTCTCATTGAGCCTCCAGAGGAACCAGCCCTGCCCATGCCTGATTTGAGCCCTGGGAGACCGTGTTGGCCTTGTGACCTTCAGAAACGTGAAACTCTAAACTTGTGCTATTGTGAGTCATGAAATTTGCAGAGACTCCCTGGCAGAGAGGGGTGCTGGCTCAGCTGGGTGGGCCGACAGCTAGGGCTCCCATACTCCCATGCTTCCGAGTATGGCCCTCATGCTCAGTCTTCCCACCCGTGGAACTGGGGTGATCCCATCAAGAGGGTGAAGGAGACGCTGCAGGGGAGCCATCGGCAGGACCAGTGCAGAGTCAGTGCTCCGTGAAGGGTGGCAGCCGGGAGCGGGAGGCCTGGCACCCACAGCACATGTGCTTCTGGATGCTTCTGCACGGCCTCCTGCATGGAGCTGACCCCTCCCTCCTCCGTTTCTAGTTTGCGGCGTGGGCCCCACCCTCATTTTTCCGAACGCCTCCACCAAGAACGTGGTGTTCCTCAGCCCCAGCTTCGTCACTGCCCTGCGAGCCGTGTCCTTCTGCAGCTGGGTCCGCACGGCGTCGGGTCGCCTGGGCACCCTCCTGTCCTACGCCACCGAGGACAATGACAACAAGCTGGTGCTGCACGGCCGAGACTCCCTGCTGCCCGGATCCATCCACTTCGTGATCGGGGACCCGGCCTTCAGGGAATTGCCCCTGCAGCCACTGCTGGACGGCCAGTGGCACCACATCTGTGTCATCTGGACGTCCACTCAGGGCAGGTACTGGCTCCACGTGGATCGCAGGCTGGTGGCCACTGGCTCCCGCTTCAGGGAGGGCTACGAGATCCCCCCCGGAGGGTCCCTGGTGCTGGGCCAGGAGCAAGACAGTGTGGGGGGTGGGTTCGACAGCTCCGAGGCCTTCGTGGGGAGCATGTCTGGCTTGGCTATCTGGGATCGGGTGCTGGTTCCCGGGGAAGTTGCAAACCTTGCCATTGGGAAAGAGTTCCCAGCAGGTGCCATCCTGACGCTGGCCAATGCTGCACTGGCAGGCGGATTCGTGCAGAGGGCCAACTGCACCTGTCTGGAGCGCTGTCCCTGAGGCCAAGCCGCACAGGGGCTGAGGCCAGCAAGAGGAGCGTGCTCCCATCCACGTTCCGCCATCGCCCCCTCCCCCAGCACATTCTACAAAGGCCACCCTACCCGCCCTGGCTGTGCACACCTGCGCCCTCACATAGGGGTGCCCGTTCCATCCTGGGGGGTGGGGAGGTGGACAGGGAGCGAGCAGGGACACAGCAAGCCTGGGGTCAAGGTGGCCCACAAGCCCATGTTTCTTGCACCACCATGGAGTTCTTACTTCCTGCACTTTCTTCCTTTCTTTTCTTTTCTTTTCTTTTTTTTTTTTTGAGATGGAGTCTCACTCTGTCTCCCAGGCAGGAGTGCAATGGCATGATCTTGGCTCACTGCAACCTCTGCCTCCTGGATTCAAGCAATTCTTGTGCCTCAGCCTCCTGAGTAGCTGGGATTACAGGCGCCCGCCACCACACCCGGCCCCTTCCTTCCTCCCTCCCTCCCTCCCTCCCTTCTTCCTTTCCTTTCCTGTTCCTTCCCGCCCTCCCTCCCTTTCTTCCTTCTTCCTCCTTCCTTCCTTCCTTCTTCCTCTCTCTCTCTCTCTCTGTCTCTCTCTCTCTCTCTCTCTCTCTCCCTCTCCTCTCTGTCTTTCTTTCTGACAGGGTCTTACACTGTCGCCCAGGCTGGAGTGCAGTAGCACCGCAGCCTCCATCTCCCGAGCTCAGCTGATCCTCCCACATCAGCCTCCTGAGTAGCTGGGACTATAGACACACACTACCGTGCCTGGCTGAAAATTTTTTTTTTCTTTTTTCTTTTTTAGATGGAGTCTTGCTCTGTCGCTCATGCTGGAGTGTAGTGGTACAATCTCAGCTCACTGCAACCTCTACCTTTTGTGATAAAGCGATTCTTCTGCCTTACCCTCACCAAGTAGCTGGGACTATAGGTGTGCACCACCATGCCTAGCTCTAATTTTTGTGTTTTTAGTACAGACGGGGTTTCACCCTGTTGGCGAGGCTGGTCTCGAACTCCTGACCTCAAGTGATCCACCTGCCTCGGCCTCCCAAAGTGCAGGCGTGAGCAACTGTGCCCGGCCCAGGCAATGCTTTTAAAACAACTTTATTGACTTGGCGCGGTGGCTCACACTTGCAATCCTAACACTTTGGGAGGCAGAGGTGAGTGGATCGCTTGAGTCCAGGAGTTTGAGACCAGTCTGGTTAACACGGCAAAACCCCGTCCCTACTGAAAAAAAAATACAAAAAAATTAGCCAGGTGTGGTGGTGTGTGCCTGTAGTCCCAGCTTCTCGGGAGGCTGAAGTGGGAGAATCACTTGGGCCTGGGAGGTTGAGTCTGCAGTGAGCCGAGATTGCGCCAATGCACTCCAGCCAGGGCAATCAGAGTGAGACCCTGTCTCAAAAAACAAAACAAAACAAAACCTTATTGAGGTAAAGTTTACCTATCATAAAATTCACCTGTTTCAGCCAGGCGCGGTGGCTCACGCCTGTAATCCCAGCACTTTGGGAGGCCGAGGCGGGTGGATCACGAGGTCAGGAGATCGAGACGACTCTGTCTCAGCCAGGCGCGGTGGCTCACACCTGTAATCCCAGCACTTTGGGAGGCCGAG